TTCTTTCCTTTCTTTTTTTGTACCAGAAATCAAACTCAGGCCCTCGATTGCCTGGCAGGTGCTGTGTTGCTGAGCTGCATCCTGGCCCTTGTGCTTTTTCTTAATGACAGCCACTTTTTCCCTGGGGAGTAGTGCTGGGGCTTATAGATTTCCATAGGAGATAGTTATTGTATTTATGTTTCACATCTGTAGTTTTGTGATTTGCAGAAATAAATCCCACTTAAGAAAATCAAACGGGAGGGAAGTGGTGGCACATTTCTGCAATGGTAGCACCTGGGAGGCTGGAGCAGGATGATCACCAACTTGAGGCCAGCCTAGGCTACCTAGTGACTTTAAAGCTAGCCCTGGGTACTCAGCATGTCAAACAAAACAAAACAAAAAATTGTGTAGAAACTAGCTGAAGATAAAATAGTACAAAATTTTGTTTTGGTAATTAGAGAGGAAGAAAAATACAAAAATCTTTTCTTAAATATATGTGGGCCAAATAGACCTGAGTGTGAGAGGAGACATTGCTTCCCTCCCTGGGTGTGATAATTAATATAACATGACATAATAAAAACCTGTATCTGGTCTCTGTCCTGGTTCCTGACATGTATCTCCTAAAACCCTTGTATTTTCCTGTGCAGTGGGACAGCAAGAAGCACTTTTGTTTTAATAGCTTGGCTCTGGCTAGAGATCATGATACAAAGCTCCTAGGCCTTTGTAGCTTCCTGATAGGTGCATCTGACACAGAGCCCTAAAGCCCTTGAACTGTCTGGGGTGACAGAAGAATCCTTTGATCCAATCAGGGGATTTCTGGTGTGTTCCTGGGGAGCCTCAGGATGGGGGCTGTTGCCAGGGTGAGAGTAGAGGGTTGTAGCTTCTGGCTCCAGCCCTGACCTCCAGGGAGGAGAGGGGATTAAAGTTGAGTTGCTCACCAATGGCCAGTGATGTAATCAACTGAGCCCACCTTACGAGTCCTCCATAAACCCCCAAAAGAGTGGGGCCGGAGCTTCTAGGTTGCTGAGCACACAGAAGGCCTGGAAGATGGCGCATGAGTGGCCCCTCATATACCTTGCCGTGTGCACTCGTCATATGCCTGGTCATCTGTAGCCTTTACAATATCCTTTATAAAACAGGAAAATGTAAAGTGTCTTCAGGTCCTGTCAGGCTCCTAATTGAACCTGTGGAGGGTGTTACAGAAACCTTTGATTTATGGCCAGTTTGTCAGATGTGCAGGTCACCACCTGGGACTTGAGACTGACATTGGAAGCAGGGACAGTCTTGGATCAAGCTCTTAACCTGTGCGATCTGACAGCATCTCTGATGGGTATGCGCTGGAGAACTGCATAGCACGGAGAGAAAATCCCCACACATTTACGACAGACATGTGCTGTGCTGGGCACACAACTTGGCTTTAGCTGCTTGTCCTGTGCAATGAATGGCTGAAGCCATGATGAGTTCTGCACCCTTAACACTGGCCCAGGCAGGGAGGTGGGGCTGCAGGGGCTGCAGCACGCCTTGAGGGCCAGTGGACCCAAAGGAAGGTGCCTTAGATAATATCCTCATCGCTGGGACAAAATACTCAACTCCCAAAATTTAAAGGAGAGGTTTATTTTAGCTAACAGTTTGTAGAGGTTTTCAGTCCATTGTCAGCTGGCTCAAGACAGAGAGGTACCTTGTGGCGTGAAAGCGGGGAGCAGAGAGACCAAGGCAAGGGTCATGGCCCCAGTGACTCAGCTCCTCAACCAGGCCTCACCTCCCAAATCACATTTAGCTACAGACTCATCAGCAGACTAATCCACCAATAAGTATCACACATCCATGATCCAGTCACCTCCCCAAAGCCCCACTATGAGTACATGAAGCTTTGGGGAGACATCCACATTAAACAGTAACACTGGGGAAACCGTGTGTGGCTTTAAAGCCGGAAAGACTGAGACTCCAGGCTTACAGATAAAACCTAGGCTCCTTGGGGCAGCATCCAGGTGCCCAGACTCTGGCTCCTGCCTCCTCTTCAGCCTTGTTTATCAGCTCCAGCTCTGCACCACCATCAGGAAACTTTTCCTGTCCCCTCACCACCACCACCAGTGCCATGTCTTCCTGTCTACCCTGGCATAGCCCTTCCTGTCTCTTCCCACTCTGCAAACACCTTTCATTTAAAAAACAAAACAAAACTTTTTGCGGGGAGGGAATGGGATCTCATTTTGTAGTTCAGGCTGCTAGGCTGGCCCGAAACTCATACAGATCCTTCTGCCTCAGCTACTAAGTGCTGGGATTATAGGTGTGCACCACCACACCTGGCTGAAAATACTTACCTTTCAACATGTTGTGTACATGTACTAACTCCTGATAATGAATGTAATCATTATGTACTGCAAACATATGCTAATAAACATTAAAAAAATTTAAAAATTTAACAATTAAAAAAAAGTAACACATTTCAAAGTTCACTTCCCCTGGATGATCTTGGCCCTCACCAGAAGTTACTCTTTCCTTTCCAGGAAGCCAGCAACACATGGTGGTGAAAGCACTTCCTTAAATACTTAACATAAAATTAACATGGAATCGATACACTGTAACATAATACCACTCCCATGAACTCCTATGGGACCTACCTAGCAGAGCAGAGCTCACACTTACGGCTCACCTTTGTCCATTGCTCATTTGTTGCTAAATAACCTGATGAATAAAACCAGGTCTTCTGAGGTTGAAGGCAAGAATACCAGATTGTGGATACTGCAGTGATCTGAATCTGCCAATACAATAAAATACCAATATGGTAAATTTATTTCTGACTCTGATAACAATGTAAGCTTCTAAGAAGAATGAGAAAACCAAGGTGTGTTTCACCACCTGGCATCTGTCTCTTGGGTGTGTGTATAATATCTGATTGCTGCCTCCTGCCTGAGGATGGTGTGGAAAAGGAAGCTATAGAGCAGCAGTACAATGTATAACCCTGTGTTCTGAACTATTTTTCTACAGCTAACGAAATCAACCTTCTAGGAGGTTGCTATGTTGTTGAGAAACTACAGATGGCTCTCCCTACCCTTCCGCCCAAGGGTGTCTACAGCTTCATCTTTGGACACAATGACTGACTCCTGTCCTTTCCTCATCTCCTGTTGCCTTAAGCTACTGAAAGACACTGGTTTGCTCCTCAGTTCTGCCAGCCACTCAGGGAAATACAAAATAAGGGACAGAGTTCTCAGCAATTTGCCATGCATTTTTATATTAAATGAAATTTAGAAAAAACTTTCCAACATCACTGATTCTATATGGCACCATGAGGAAAGCATCATACCATTTGGGTTTTGGACATGAACACAAAATCCACCTGGTGGTCACCTAGAAGGCTCAGCCCAGACTTTCTAGAAGGCAAAGCAGCCTCTTGTTTCTGTTGAACAGATAAGACTGCAGGCCCAGTTTTCTTTGCCAAATTCAAATACTTGAAACACAGCTTATAATGTTTTTTACAAACAAACAAAAAGGACTCAAGTTCTTGTAATTCTGAGGCTGAGAGCATATGGATCATGGCTAGCATCCAGGCTGTGATTCCAAAAGCAA